TATTTAACAGTTATTCTACGAACTCGAGTCAAATATGAGCTGATAGCCGATGAGGCGCGTAGCGCCGAATCGGCTATCGCTCATATTCGACGAGAGTGAGTGGAATAACTGTTTTATTATATACACAAGGTCTGAATTCACAGACTTTGCTTTTCGGATATTTTCAATATTTTTCTATTTTGTTTATGTTTTTATCTTCGCTCTTTCGGCCGATTATTTCTTCAAAAATATATATTTTTAACCATTTTAAATTTTAAAAATTCATTTGCTAACCTGTAAACAATTTGTGCGAGTTTTTTTCATTGTGTTTTTAATCCTGTAAAGGCTATAAAAAGCGAACAAAATCGGAAATTCAGTTTGAGCCGCCATTTTGTTTTTCTCTACTAGCAGGATATGAGCTAATATCCTGCTAGTAGAGAACCAATCAGATTGCAGAATACCTCATATTTACCAGACCTTGTGCATATAATAAATATATATATATATATATATATATATATATATATATATATATATATATATATATATATATATATATATATATATATATATATATATATATATATATATATATATATATAGCTAATATATGTAGTCGAACTACAATATAACTGATAAAAAAGAGTAAGGACAAAGAGAAAAACACGCTGCATTGATCAGGCATGCTTCAGGAAATATATCGATATCGTCAATAATGCGGACAGAACTCTTGCCAACCTCGCAAGCCAGTTCTCTACTTCCGCTCCCCTCCCAAACATGCTCCATGTGTGTAACTAACACGCTTCTGTGTAACTAACACTAAACTACAGCATGTTGCATGTTTAACCCTTGTATCTCTTTAAGAAGGTCATGACCCTACTTTATTTTATATTTTTGTTCGTCCATACGTCTTATCCAGGGGCGTAGGAAGCACCTGGAGTTTGCGGGGGCACCGGCTTGTAGGGGCACATTACTATCGGAAAGGGCACCTAAAAAATTTTTCCCGGAAATGAGAAATTTCTCCTGAGGAAAATTTTCCGTCGTATCATACCGAAATTTATGTTTGTGACCTAATTTTTAAAAAAAATTTGTAAATTTCCACACAAAAACGGCACCTATTGTTTTAATTTAGTATTTACAGCGACATTAGCTTCTACAAAAGTGGCACTTTTCCTCACAAAAAAGGGCACTTTTCAACACAAAAAGGGCACTTTTTATCACAAAAAAGGGCACTTTTAGTCCTTTAAAAAAATTTGGGGGGCACGTGCCCCCCGTGCCCCCGCTTCCTACGCCCCTGGTTCAAAGCATCAACTAAGCAGTGCTACTGCAAATACATTTACCTCAGTTGGCAAATGTACTTTCTTAAAACGTCAGATAAATCGTAATTGATATCTTATACACTATATATCTTACATTGATCAATTTTAAAGGTGGGATATGTCAAAGGAAAATACTTATTATAGTACTTCTCCCATGTTACTTACCTTGTCTGAGGTGATAAAGTATGTCGATAATGGAAAAAATGAGTTTGGTTGTGTTCGCCAGCCACTGCTTAACATTCCACTTGATCATGTCATTCCTGACGAGCTTCACCTCCTTCTGAGAATAACAGATGTCCTTTTGACCAATCTTCTTGATGATGCGATGGAAAGAGATGAGAAGGAAGACAACCTGAAGGCGCGTGGCATGGAAAAGGGTGTGCACTTGAAAGGCATCGTCAAAAAGGCTACAGTAATTGAGGGCCACTATGTTTGTAATTGGTGTTACCCTCATTAAATATGTTTATTGTATTGTATTGTATAATATTTATGATGAATACTAAAGACATCTGAATACAACGGCCCAGGTACACTTGCAACTGTCACTAAGATTATGCCCGCATTTCTCCGATCCCTTTTGGCGTATGTGATAGAGTACACTTACTAGGAATGTAACATCGGTAATACAGTATTCTGCTCTTGCTTGTATAAACACATACTATCGCACACGCTGGGTTTAGAAAATCGCAGGCAAACTCGCAGTTGCAGTGAAAGTTGCAAGTGTAAACAGGCCTCAATACCTATTAAAACCCCTGACCATGCAGGCCTGATAGGGTATAATATAAATAACAAGCTTTCGTTGGTAGGGATGCAACTACCTGAAAAATATAAGGAGAATTTCGAGCAAAGACCCTTTGTCTGGAGTTACTGACTCCAGCAAAGACTCCATGGCTTTCTCGCTCGAAATGTTGAAATTCTCCCTATATTGTTCAGGTAATTGCATACCTACACTGGCACAGACAATTCAATATAGTATAAATAAGTGTTTTACACAAGTCCTATATTAGTAATTTATCCATACCAAGCAGCTACTTTGATTACTTCAACTGACATTTTTTCAAAAGGGGCTCTTTTACAAGGAACTGTGGTACCTTTTGTGTCAACATTGTATTTAAGTGGCGACCAGGAAATAAACCAACGTATCTTGACTGAAAAATGTAACTTCATTCCCTCCCCATGTTTGTTCATCCTAACAGTCCATCCTTTTTGAAATAACTGTTGCGGAAAGTCATTTTCTTCCAAAACTTGCCAACGTTGCAAAAAATAACCTTTACCTGCGAACAAGAACTTAAAAACATCTCCTCTGCATTCGAAGGTCAATCTTTCATTCCTCCTGTTGTGTTTAAGAGCCTGCTCAATTTTTTCTCGAAATAAATCAGCAAATTCATGAATATCCTTTACATTTGGTTGTGCATTATGGTAGTATCTACGAAAATAAAACAATATTTAGTATGGCTAGCTACTATATTCTAGTATTGAGGTGATGAATGAGTGAGTGAATGATTTCAGTCACTGATGTACTTTTTAATAAACACTGCAGTACGCTACCTGATGCAAAGTCTTGTAATATTGCTTTCAGGTTCGTAGGAGGCGTCGTATCGCGAATAGCCGTGCCATAAAACAAGGTATTCTGGTTCTTCCTAAACAAATTATTTGCATACAAACAGTCTTATTAGTTTATGTCCATGGCCAAAATATAGTTCACGCAGCAAAATTAATAAAAACCGACAAACGTCAAATTACTAAAATTATATTTGAACTTACGCCTTTCTCGCTTCTCTCGGCAATTAAACGATCTACGGCGAAATAATTTCCCCCGTAGTCAAGCTTTCTCTTTTTCTTTTGGTTGGAAACAGAGTAAAAATCAGCAGTCGTAATATTGTCCAACTCTTTGTAAAACGAGATGGTGGCCATTTTGCTGCACGCGCAAAGAATTTTACCATCTGGGATCTGGGTACTAGAATTTCGAACATGTCCAATATTTCTCGCCATGGGTGACCTCTTGGCAAACAAACACTTTAAGTCAGCTCAGGCAGCAGTAGAATTGCAGGGCTGTAGGTTCAGTTCATGCTGGCAGACTTGCAATTGCTCTCTGAGTTATTTGAAGTGTGTTTGTTCACTGCAACCAGGTATATCAATCATGTTTCGCTTGCTACTCTGGATTAAATAAATAATTACAAAGCCCAGTGGAATTGTAATCAAGACCCAGCGTTTAGACATTTCAGTGTAGTGTCTTCTTTAGGGCTGATCTAAAGTTGCAATTGTGGCTTCTTAAATACCCAAGGGATGACATCACCTGCCAATGAGATGCATGTATTCCTCTGGCAAATAGGCACCGTCATCTCTATTCACAGCATAATTACTCATATTTATATGCCATGCTTCTAGGCATAGTTTTTGACCATAGCGATTGTTTGTGGTAATTACTTTAGATTTTTCCGACACAATCTCATGTTTGGTGTCACACACATGTTTTGATAAAGCTGCTTTTCCCTTGTTTTAAAGTTGAAACAGCCTTTTGATGTTGAGTTCTTTTAGCCGTGTGCCAAACTGGTGTTTAGAGTGACCGAAATACTCTTTTTCGCAGTCACCGCATGGTATAGAATATACAGCATGAGTTTTCTGATTTGTTTTAACAGGATCTTTTGGCTTTGCAAAAATATGGCCTAAAGTCAAATACTGTTTTAAGGCAACCTTAATATTACATGCATCTCATTGGCAGGTGATGTCATCCCTTCGGTATTTAAGAAGCAACAATTGCAACTTTAGATCACCCCTGATGAAGACACTAGACTGGGGTGTCAAAACGTTGGGTCTTGATTACAATTCAACTGGACTTTGTAATAATTTATTTAAACCAGAGTAGCGAGCGAAACATGCTATCAGTTAGTTCTACGAAACACATGTTAACTGTACAGTTTCCATTTGAAATATCCATCTACAAAAACCCATGATCAGTCTGCTATTATTGCCTTACTACTTACTAGTGTAGGCTGTTGATTGTCTCCTATATTTAATATTGGCTATTTGCAACATCCTGCAATCCATCATATTATACACATCACATGCAGCCATGATATCATCAATCAAACTGCATTCAAAGAATGTTATCGAGCGTAAGAATATATTATTATATGCTAAAGCAAATCGTATTTCCTGTTACAATACTGTATACCTTGTATGTAGAGGGATGATAAATTATTTTGACTTAAAAATGTCTTTATTGATTTCTTAGGTTAATCAGGTGTGTTACAGCAGCACGCCTTTAGTTGTGTTACAGCACACTTTAAGGTGTGTTACTGTAGCACGCCCTAAGGTGTGTTACTATAGCACATCTTCAGGCGTGTTACAGCAGCACACCTTAACGGTGTGTTACAGCAGCACACCTTAAAGGTGTGTTACAGCAGCACACCTTAAAGGTGTGTTACAGCAACACACCAAGGCGTGCTAACAAACACACCTTTTCTCAAAACACACCTAAAGGTGTGTTGTTTTCTGGACAAGCGAATAACACACCTAAAGGTGTGTTACTGTAACACACCTTAAGGTGTGTTGTTTTCTGGACATAAAAGGTGTGTTGCTTTAGCACACCTTTTTTTAAGAGTGTAGTGCCACAGCTTCAATTCCTGCCTGAAAACATATATAGTTGCATTTCTCGCAACTGCTCCTGGCTACAGTAGGTCTAATAAATTTATCAAATTTACACACTCAAAATTTCCACCTGAAAATTCCTTCAACATACAGTTCTATCAAGCAAGATATGGCCAAAAATCTGATATTTATCATTTATCTGATTGTCAGTAAATGAGATCACAGGCTTAACATATAATCATGCTGTTTATTTGAGCCTATATGGTCTGATTTCCCGAGACACTGAAATGTCAAAATGCGGTTTACAGTCAGTGCTGTTATACCGCTACAAGATTTTACTTAAGACATTTCAGTTCATTGTACTGCATAATGTGTAATCATGACATACTATTAAATGGGTTTTTTATGTGGAAGCAGAACTGCCTCAGCTAAAATCAACACATTCAGTGGCATTGCGCCTCAAAGTACCGTACTTTATTATTTTGCTCTGTCTAACTGCAGATAATTTTATTCGTCAAGGGGAAAGCGCTTGCACTCTGCGTAATGGTGAAGGGCTATATAATATTGTGCAAATATGGAATATGGTTTTGACCTTGCCACCAATGTGTTATAGCATTGTTACAGTATAAAATTACTTTGTGCTTGTCATTCCATAATTCTGGCCTGGCTTGGTTGCTGGGTTCTCTCTTGAAAGAGGCAAGATCTAAGCACTCGGAATGGAAGTTTCTCTGTACTTATTAAATAAATTGGTCAACTCAGGATAAAAGTATATATACAAAGGGCTTTTCCCATAAGTTGTTATTAGAGTGTTGTGGGTCAAAACAACAGCTTGTGCTAAAATTCAGAATAAAAAGAAACCAGAGGAACTGTCTAAACAAAATGACCAAAACCTTGGAAACGCCGCAACAATGATAGACGATGAGTGAAACATAAGGTAGAGCTCTACAGTAATTACCAGAGTACCAGCATGGTCAGTTAGGATCTACAAGCTGCAGGGATTAACTCATTGACCGCCACCTCTGTCCTTGACGAGTAAGATTGTCTGGAGTTTGAAAGAGTAAAATTATAAGGTAGACCACATTAGTGCACAATGCAACTTTATGGGTTTAGTAGCCACATGGGCAGATAATCTGATTAATTAACCAATGAAGTGCTTGCATTCTCTTCTTGACGAGTAAAATCGTCTAAGAGTAAAACATTAAAGTAGGGCGCATTAGGGTGCAATGCAACTTGCTCGTTAAAAGTTGGAAATCTGTAAAATTTTCGTAACTATATTTAGTTTTAAATCATTACCATACAGGCATTGGTTGTTTTTCCGAAATGGTACTACTGCAAAACAAGACTTAACTCAATAAGTTGCAATACACCCTAATCTACCCTACTATATTATTTTACTCTGTCTAACATCAGACGATCTTACTCGTCAGAGGGTGAGCGCTGACACTAAATAGGTTAATCAAACTTTCTACCATGTGTCTAGTTAACTGGTAGTACGTTGCATTGCGCCGTAATTGTGGCGAAATGTTATTATTTTGGTCTGTATAACGCCAGGGGCCGGTTGTTCAACGCTGGGTAAGCTTAACCCTAAGTCAACTTAAAGTTCAAAGCAAACTTCCCAAGATCTTGTTTACAAATTTGGAAATATTTCTTCAGAGATCTTGTCTGAATCAGTATAGGAGTTTTCTTCTCTGAAGGTTTGAAATATACGGACATGAAGAAATACATCAATTAAAACAGCAAATTAAATTTTAACCCAGGGTTAGCGTTAACCCAGCTTTTAACAACCAGACAATTTTCTTCGTCAAGGGAAGAACACTGGCGCTCAGTGGGCTTTTATGTAACGAACTTCCTAACACTACCTGAGATCTTTCTTGCTGTGATTCCTTGCGAACCAGCAACAAATTAAAGTTACACGTACTGTGCCTATGTTCTTTATGTCTATATGTGGCAGGGAGTAATTTAAATGAACTAGCTCTTTGTCCCTTCTTAGTTTGGGAAAGTATTTAACAGTATTTTGCATTAAATGTATATATTTCTATATATACATGCACAGGTGGAAGACTGCTACAATTTACGTAAAATACCAATCAATTTCCAGCTATTCGAGCAAGTGTTGAGATTATCATGAAACCTAATTCTCATACAGTAAAGTTGGACTAGTTATAGAATAACTTGTACCTCAACAACTATGATCTTAATACATTCAGTTTCGGCCAAACTACTGCATATTTGCTTTATTTAACACGTCTGTATTAAAACAGTAGCGATTGATACACCGGGTGGAAAGCGTAATTTAAAAATGGAAATTAAAGCCCAGCAAATGACTTTCAGACAAGACATAACAAAATATAAAATTTATTGGCTAACGTTTCATTGTATTGTTCACAACATCTTCAGAGCAATTAAACTTATTTACAAGCGTGTATTATATACATACAAATAGTTTCAAACGGTTACAGTATTCAAATAAGCGAATAAGAGGAAGGATGAAAAACGACCTGTCATTAAAATCAATAGTATTAGTAAATTAAAGAAATAATGGTTTAGTAATTAGAGACCTAGCAAAGCATTAGAAAAGGTTAGGAGGAGTTGACCGAATGTTAGCATTTAAAGTAGGATTAAGCTTGGATATGAAAAGGCTTTCGCGAATGAGTAGATCTGCTTCAGAACTAGCAGTGGAAAGGATTTTAAAATCAGAGGGTGAAATTTGATGTTTAGTGGTATGTATATGAGCGAGTATGCCTGACATGGTAGAAACAGAACGTTTCTTTCCAGTCAAAGGTGAAACACCCATGTGTTCAGAGATACGCGTGTGTATAAAAAAATAATAATAATGTATGTGGTCTCGCCGACACATACACACGCGTATCTCTGCATGATGAACACATGGGTGTTTCGCCTTTGACTGGAAAGAAACGTTCTGTTTCAACCATGTCAGGCATACTCGCTCATATACATACCACTAAACATCAAATT